TACACAATGGTTCTTTTTTTGAAGAGAAAATAATAAAATAATGGTGTAGAATTTCAAAGCTAGATAATAGGAGATTAATAGTGGTTCATGTTTTGGGTATTTTTGTGTTCAAAGTGTTTCTCAGAGTGGAAGATACAAGCATGAAAAACTGATCAAACAAGATAAGCACAAACCATTTTATAATGAAAAAATAAACAACATCAGTAGGATAACTATGTTTTATATATATAATATATAGCTATGTGTGAATGCACCTTTTGTGAAGACATACAGTTATGTGTAGATGCTCATTTGTGTGTCTTTCTCTCTTCTTTCCCCACACTGCTTTTCTTCTTTCATCCATCCCAGTTGTTCTTTCCTCTTGAGCACATTCCTTCCCTCCCATAATATCTCTTGTAGATTTTCCACCATTTGCTTTTTAAGTTTCTTATGCTCGGAAGACAGTACAGTGCTTGCCCCTGTGAGTCTGATTCAGCTCACTTATGAGCACAGTCTCTGTTTGCAGCTGTTTGCCTACAAGCTTAGGGTTTATGCATCTTCATAGCTGAGCAGTGCTCCATTGTAGAGAAATACCACACCCTTTTATGCATCCTTCAGTTAGTGGGCATTGGGGTCGTTCCCAGGATTTAGCTCTCACGAACTGCGCTGCTGTAAACACGGGTGCACGTAAGTTGCTGTGGTGTGATGCTTTAATTGTTCTTGGGAAATACTCAGAAGGGAAAGGGCTGGATCCAAGGGGACCTCTGATCCTAGGTTGTTTTTTGTTTTTTGGGTTTTTCTTATTTTTTGTTTTGTGTTTTGTTTTTTTTTTTTTTTTTAGTAGGAAAGATCCTTTATTGGGGTGGACACAGCACGCACGAGTCCAGGATAAAACCGCTAACACGAGCCGCGACCGTGGCACCCTGCGTGGGACCCCAGCAGCAGTGGGACCCAGCTGGAGACACCAGACACCTGGGTCCCGGCTGGGGACCTGGTGGGGGTCAGGGGCCGGGTTACTGAGGAAGCATCTAAGACATCTCACTACTGGGTCTGCGTCCCCTTTGACCAAGGCATGACAGGTGTTACAGCATAAACAAAAACGCAAGGAAAATAAATACATTGGCTCCTGTGAGGTTGGAGGTGGTGTGAATGGGCGGGAGGGTGCAGCGGGGAGGACAGGGGCTCACACACGGGCGGGTGGTGGGCCAGATGTCCCCGTGCATGTCGGGGCTGTCTGTGCGAGCCACCATGTGGGTAGCGCCGAGCTCTCGCCCTCCGGCTCCACCCGTCTAATCCTAGCTTTTTGGGGACTCTTCATGCTGAGCTCCACGGTGGTTGTACCCCTCCCCCGAGGGCACAGAGGGCTCCTTGTCCCATAGCCCCTCCAGCATTTGTTACTGGCCCCCTCTGGTGCCAGCCACTCTCTCTGGGGTGAGATGGAAGCTCAGTGTTACTTTAATTCACACCTCATGAACGACCAGTGACGCTGAACATTTTTTCCATATATTAATTTTCCAACTTGTATTCTTTCATCTGAGAAGTATTCATCCCAAATGCCTATTTTTGGATTGGGTCTCTAAGTTTGGGAGTCAGATTTTTAAAAATTATTTGCATTTTATAGATAGAAGTCCTATGACTGAAGAACAGTTGGCTGATAGTGTTTCCATGCCAGTTTTTTTTTTCTCTCTCTCTGTTGATTTCTTTTGTGGTACTGAAGCTTTTTAACAAGACGAGGTCTCAGGGACAGGGGTATAGCTCAGCAGCAGAAGGTCCTGCCTGGCGAGGGCAAGGTCTTGAGTTTGATCCCCCTTGCCGAAAAGCCCCAGTCTGCCCTATAAGATGAGATCTCAGCTGTTGTTTCTTGAAGCGTTTCCTGTGCAGTGTGGGTTCTGCTCTCAGGCTCTCTTCCTCCACCTCTGTCTTCAGGATTTCTACCTACTTTCTCTTCCAGTAGAAGAGTGTTTAGTGTTTCCTCTCTAAGATAAAGCCTCTTGATCCATCTGGTCTTTAGTTTAGTGTATGCTGATAGACACGGGTCTATAGTTTTAGCCTTTGGCATGTGGAGAGGCAATCTTTCCAGCACCATTTATTAGGAGGCTGTTGGTCTTCCCGTGAACATGTTTGGTCCCTTTGTCAAAGACCGTGTGGCTGAGTGTGTCTGTAGTGGTGTCCTCATCTTCCCATCTGTTGCACTGGTCCTCAGAGCTATTTTTTCCAGTACCATGCTGATTTTATACAATAGCTTTGTAGTATAATTTCAAGTCAGGGATTGCGATGCCTGCTGACTTCCCTTTGTTTCTCTGGATTGCCTTTGCTATTCAAGGTCTCTTCTGGTTCACGGCGTAATTTAGGAATGTTTCTCTAGTTTTGTGAGGTATGCTAATGGTTTCTTGATCATGATTTCATTAAACTGTACAACAATTTGGGGAGTATTTGATATTTTTACTATGTTGGTTCTTCCTACCCATGAACAAGGGATATCTTTCCATTTTCTGATATCTTCTTTGATCTCCTTTTTCAGAGTACTGCAGTTTTCAATATATACATCCTTTATTTCCATTGTTAGTTTGATTCCTAAGTTGTTTTTTTTCTGGGTTTTTTTTTTTTTTTTTTGATGCTATTGTGAAGGATGTGGTTTCCTTAATTTCTGTCTCAGTTAGTTTGTTGTTTGTGTACAGGAAGGCTGTTGATTTCCGAATGTTGACTTTGTAGCCAGCTATGCTACTAAATTTGCTTATTAACTGTAGAAGTCTTCTGGTGGAGTATTGGGGTCTTCTATGGAGAGGATCGCGTCATCTGTGAACAATGACAAGTTAACTTCTTCCCTTTCTATCCATAATCCTTGCATTTCTCTCTCTTGTCTTCTGCTCTGGCTAATGTTTTCAGAACTATACTGAATAGGCCTGCTGGCAGTGGGCATCCTTGTTTTGCTCCTGGTGCTCGAGTGACAGCTGCCAGTTTTTTGTCCATCTAGTCGGACTCTGACTGTTGGCTTATTATAGATTGCTTTTATCAGTTTGAGGTGATCATTGATTCTGATTTTCTGCAGAGTTTTTTTTTTTATCATGAATGAGTGTACTTCACATGACTAAAAGATTTTTCTGCATCTATTGAGATGATCATGTGGTTTTTGTCTTTGGTTTAGCCTGTTTGTCTGACTTTTTTTCAGGGCTGTGGACTGAACTTGGGGACATCCTCAGTGATTCATGCATAGCAATGTTTATTGCAGCACGATTCATACTGGCTAGTCCTGGAAGCGGCCTGTATGACCATCAAGACATGACTGAAAAAAGACAACGTGGTAGCTACAGAGAACGGAATGACACGAGTAGAAGAAAGATGAATTCTAGACATTTGTAGGGAAATGTATGCCCTGGAAAATCTAAGTTGAATAGAATAAATCAGACCCAAGCTTAAGGAGCAGGTGGTGTCTCTTTTTTGAGTAAGACAGAGTACAGACAAACAGCACAATAAACAAGGGCTAGAAGGGGACAAGGGGATGCATCTGTTACACACGGGAAGGGCCTGGAGTCTGGGGGAGGGGAGAGGGCAGGGAGAGGGAGTGGGGTAGGGGAGAGGGCAGGGAGAGGGAGTGGGGGAGGGGAGAGGGCAGGGAGAGGGAGTGGGGGAGGGGAGAGGGCAGGGAGAGGGAGAGCATGGAGGCTCAAGCTGTGCCATCAGCAGGCACCGAGCGCCACTGTGAGGTGAGCATCACGCGGGTGTCACAGGCATGAGCTAAGCGGCACAGCAGCGGTGGGCCTGAAAGGAGGAGAGGGGGCTCTGAGGTGGAGGGCAGGGCGGGCGGGAAGGGGCGGGCAATTGAGGAGCAGCAGTGGCGTGCACCGCAGCGGCTTCCCTGGGTGAGTGCAGACCTCACGTCCTGCGCACCAGTACTGACAGCACAGAAGCTGAGCCGCTTCCCTCTACGTCTCCACGTGGGCACACTTGTGTGATGGGCAGAAAGTTGGGAGAGGGAACTGGGCCGAGGGCTGTGGACCTTGCAGGATTCTGTGGGTACTCGTGAGGGGACTCGTGTTCCTCACAGTAGGACACCGGACACCCAGCGTTGTAGACTAAGTGTGCACGGCTGGACGGGCCAGTGTGTTTAAAGGAGCTTAAGGAAAACTAAGCTGAGGGTAAGATGCGCTGTTCCAGCGGAGACCCACGGTCCCTCTCCAGCTGGATCCTGACACGGGTCTCAGGCCTAAGATCCAGCCCCAAAAGGAGAAAACCAACAGGAAATCCATATGACAGTAGCGTCTCCAGGCCACCCCAAGCAGCTCTGTGGCCAATGCAGAAGTAGAGTACGGTGGGGCCTCAGTTCACACACCAGATTCATCCCAGGACCCTGGTTGCAAGCTGACTTGGATGAGATCCAAGTCAAATCCTATGGCGAGGGTCACTGTTGGCTTTGGGGAATTTGAGTCAGTTCTCGTCCAGTTCAGTTTGCAACTCAGAGATCTGAGCTGTACTCTCCTGCCCAGAGCTTGATCTTCAACCTCAGGAAAGACCCTCGGGCAGCCTGGGCTGCCGCTCCAAGACCCGCCCTCCGGCTTCAGATTGCCGTGCACTGTGGGAGCAGAGCGAATGCACCTGCAGGTGTCCTTCGGTCCTCCCATTCTTTAGAGATGACCCAGCCCCTGACTGCCAGGTGAGAATAGCAATTCAAGAAGGAAAGATAAGGTCATATGATACAGCTCTATGCTTCAAAATTTGGATTTATTTAAAGGCAAGGAATATTTCCATATGAGAAAATATAGGCAGCAACAAGAATTTCCATGAAAGTGACATAACAGTTAACAGATTTCACAGGAAATTAAAACCTGTGTTCATTAGGGGGAGAGAGAGAGAATAAGCAGCTCAAGGGATGAGAGAGTATAGCTGTAGTCGCAAGCCCGTCCGAATGAAATCTCTGGCTTGCGTAGGCACCGAGGAGGGGGTATTGACCAAGAACAGAAACATGCAGGGCCAGGTGCTCAGCAGCAAGGACCACTAGAGCATGCGAGGTGACAGCAAGTAGTCTAACAGCAGGAGGGGCCGCAGCAGCTGGAGATGCAGCACTGGGGTCTGCAGCAGCTGGACACACAGCAGCTGGGGTGGCAGCAGGTGGTCCTGCAGCAGGTGGTCTCAAAACAGCTGGGCTGGCAGCAGCTGGGCTGGCAGCACTGGGGCTTGCAGCAGCTGGAGATGCAGCAGCTAGGGCGGCAGCAGGTGGGTTGGCAGCATACAGACTGGCAGCACTGGGGCCTGCAGCAGCTGGAGATACAGCAGGAAGGTCTGCAGCAGGTGGGCCTACAGCATATAGTTTGGCAGCAGCTTGGGCGGCAACAGCTGGAGATGCAACAGCTGGGCTTGCAGCAGCTGGACACACAGCTGCTGGGGCGGCAGCAGGTGTTCTGGCAGCAGGCAGGCTGGCAGCAGCTGGGCTGGCAGCAGCTCTCCTGGCCACAGCCCTGCTCAGAGCAGACGGAGCCACAACAGGAGTTGACCATGGTGTCGGTGGCTGGAGGTTCTGGGTGGGTTTGCGAGGTGGAGGGTCTGAGAGGTTTGGAAGCCTGCCTGCCCCTGTGTCCCTTTATACCCTGTTAAGCAGCTGTTGTCACTATAAAAAGTACTCTTCCTTGTTGTTGTTTGTGTTGATAAGTAGACCATTACCTAGTCAGGGAAGTGAATTTTCCTGCTAGAATTTTCATGGTGGATGCAAAGCACCATTTCCTTTTCCTACCAAGTTAGAAGTCATACATCCTTCTTCATGAACAGCTAAGCCATTTTGCTCGCCTGAGCTTCCTTAAAGCTAGGTGTCAGGTGACACTGTGCCTCTTGGTGACGAGTCGAGTCGCTCATGGGTCTCAGCGTCGCAGCTCAGGGGCTGCTCCCACAGCCCCTAATGGCCCTTGCACACCCAGAGTGCTCCAGGAGAGCGGAGCAGAGCTAGTGCACGCTGGTGACTGAGGCCTTCACAGTGATGGCAAGGAAGGCCTGCACGCGGAGCACGCACCCCCAGGGCGGGGACAAGGCCGAGGAACATGCCCCTTCCACGTTACCAATCCTAACTTGCTCCTCCAGAGCCCATGTACACTGGAGACATCAGTGGAGAACATCGATGGCTCTTTTTGCTAGAAAAAGAAAAGGCAAAAAACAAAAGAGATGTAGGGCGGGGATCTAGTTCAGTGGTCTAAGCGCCTGCCTGGCAAGCACAAGTGCCGCGTTTCATCTCTGGTGCTGCATGCCATCCCTGCCGCAAAACTGGGCATGGTGGCGCACGTCTGTAATCCCAGCTCTGAGGAGGCTGAGACAGGAGGATCACTATGAGTCTGAGCTGCCTCGCGAGATCCTGTACCAAATAAATAAAAGACTTTTTTTAATTAAAAAAAAAAGAGATGCAGATCCAATAAATCAGCTTGTGCAGATTCATAGTGAGGGTGGGATACACCAGAAGGGGCCAACGTGGGCTCAGCTCGGCAGGTAACTGTGGCCTCCAGGAACAAGAACTTTCTACCAACCGCGCGGGGCAGCTGCGTCCAGAACCGAGCAGACCCACTCAGGGCAGACCCACCGCAGGGCAGACCCACCGCAGGCTGCGCCTCGGCGCCGTGGCGAAGAAGGACACCCCCAGCCACCGGCTTCACTACAGAGCAACCCCTACCTTGGAGGGACCATGTTCTGTGTGCTGTTCCTAACTTCTACTCGAAGCCTAGAGAAGCAGAGCTTATGTCTGAGGTCAGGACACGACTCTCAAATTACCTAAAGCCTTTCTAGGCCCAACATTTGTGACAGGGAGCAGGAGTTGGCGGGCAACCTTGTCACATAATCGCTTTCCTTTTGAACTAGTGTGTGTGTGCGCGCGCGTGCCCATGCGTGTGCACACGCACACGTCTGTATGTTTCAAATGCTACCAGACAAGAGAAACTCAGTTAAATCTGGGGAAATTTGAATAAATTGCCTCCATGGTCATGAGCAAGCAGCACGTGGGAAGTGCATTTTGCCGCTGCAGTAACCGGGACCACGCGACAGAAACCCTTGCAGAGAGGGCTCGCGAAGCCGAGCCTTTGCTTTCCCGTACTGCTTCCGCCACTTGCAGTCCTGTTTTCAAATACAACTTGGCTAAGAATTACTTCTGCAGTTAGGGTGATCTGCGGTTAGGTGAGTCACAGGGTTGAGGCAGGAGCGTCAGCTAAGTAGAGACAGCTATGACTGCCATCTCAAATTGACTGGAAAATTTAACATATCTAAAATTAAATCACCTGGAAGTAATTAAAATGGGAAAGGTACAATAGATACTGTGAAAAGGAAAGAATTTGTTCAATGGGAAGGAAAAATTGAGAGGAGGAAAAGGACAAAGGAAAGAAGGGGAAAAGGTATATTTATGTATGCAGAATGTTTTGGATGATTGGACTGCCGATTTCTGCTGGTCTTTTGAAAGAAGTTAGTGTTTAATTTTTTTTTTCTTTTTATACTTCTTATTTTTTTCTTATAACTTTTTTGTTATTGTTTTTTCTTTAAACCAATTACACAATACCAATTGTTTTGTTTTTTTCTTTAAACCAGTCTTGCACATTTATTTGGTACCTTGAACAACTAATTTGAAGACAGCATCATGCCATACGGCAACCATAGTTGAACTCCTATTACTTGGTTCGGTGCAATTTTGTGTCATTTCCAATGCTGTTTTTTCTATCACTATTTTGTATTCTTGGAAAAAAAAATTAAAAATTAAAAGAATTAAATCATGTTATTTTGCAATAGAAATCAAGACCTTAAGTCCTTAACTATAGATAGATAGAGATAGGAATAGACATAGATATAGATCTATGTGTATTTGTATGTGCATGTGTGTGTAGAGTTGGCCTGAGAACACGCCCAGCGCCTTTACAATGAGCTATAATCCCAGCCCTGTTTAATTGTTATTTGGAGACAGGGCCTTTCTATCTTGCCTAGGCTGGTCTTGAACTCACGACGCCCCCGCCCCCATCTCCCAGAGTGCTGGGCTGCGCTTACTGGCGTGCACCCCCACGCCCACCTCAACTTTCTAAGTACTTGTTGAATAGCATCACCTGTCGTGCTAGGATGTGGTGTGTGTAGTCAGAGCAATGTAAAGTGTGGCAAGAGAGCCGTCCACCTCCCCTTACTGGCAGGTAGACATCATCTTTTTACAAACTGTCATTCCTTGTCCGTGTCAACATCTTTTTTTTTTTAAGCTGTAAGAAAACATTTTAATGCTTGTGAATTTTAAAAGCTCCTTTGCTGTTATGAAGAGCGCACACATGCAGAAAGCGTGTACAGTGCACGTGTGTCACCCCATGAACATTTATTCAGGAAGGCCCCCCGGCGTCCGCAGCGGGGACCCAGGAGGAGAGCGTGCCGTCGCCACGAACGGCTGCTGTGCGTCTCCTCCGGGCCTGCCTCTCTTCGCCCACCACAAGAACCACGACCCTGAGTTTGAGTAGTTTTTTATTGCTTTTCTTTATCCTTTAACCATACAGTCAAGCATTTCTGAAGAACAGAGTTTAGTTTTACATGATTCGAATTTTGTACAAATAAAATCTCCGCTAGGTGATTTGGTATTCTTATTTCTTTGACAATCAGTATGTAGTAGCTGGGACTGGCACCCTCTAAGGGACCCCAGTGATGTCCCTTTTTGGTGACCGTAACTGCAATGCTTCTAATACAGAGGCGTTCCTCAGGCTCTGGGTACTGAAGGCGGGTACCGGGGCTGCCGGTGCGGGGCGGTGTGGGCCTGGAAGAGCAGGAGCCTCCTTCCTGGGAGGTCCTCAGCTTGCTGGGCGTCTGCTCTGCCTTCTTCTTGGCCAAATCTTACATGCATTTCTTTTCTAGTCTGCTGAATCTATTTGTAATCTTGCAGCTCCTCTTTTTTTTTTAATTAATTTTATTGAGAAAAAAATTGCAGTGAGATAGTTTCAAAACAGGTTGGCAGGAGAGTTACAATAATTAATGCATTGCATATTGGTATCTTTGGAGTAGTCACTCATAGCTCAGGATGCCGACATGCTCTCCTGTCCAGACACTATTAGTACAGATCTTTCTTATTGAATTAAGAGAAAGTGGCTATATATCTATCCTAACAATTTTGTATATACAGATACAAAATTGTCCTTCATTTATATCGTCTTTTTTGGTTCAGTTTTGTCAGAGATGGGTATTCCATTGCCATCCAAATATTGTAGGTACGTAAATTCAGCAAAATATTCCAATATAGTCCAGTAGTCCACAATAGTAGTGGGTTGTCCACAGGACTGGCAATGTCCGCATCTGTGGACTTGAGCCTTCCACAGCTCAGCATGTTAACATGGCTTCGCTTTTCATACTTCGTTTCTACACTTTTCTGCTGGATAGAGAAGACCAAGATAAAGCAAGACCTGTGTATATCAAGAGATGCAACTTTTGTATGTGACAAGGTCAGTCAAGTCCCTCAGGACTTATCCCAAAACCCTGTACTGCAGCACTTTGTAGATCCTTGTCAGTGTCGGAAGACAATACTGCCGCTCCTCTTCGTGGCTCATTCTCACTTTAAACAAGGCAGCGGGACAGACGCTGCAGCTTGCGCTTTGGGCTGCCTTGGAATCCGTCGGCCTGCGCTGAGTCGCCACTTCACCTTCCCTCTAGCTGCGCCCAGCGTGGTAGGGCGAGGCCAAAGCCCCACCATTTCTCCCCACGCGGCTGGGCTGCCCCACGCATTCCCGCCCGGGAGCTCTCCTGCCCTGCAGCCGCCGCTCCTCCCCGCAGGTTCTCAGGCTGTCCGCGCTCGCTCCTGCCCCATTCTCCAGCCACGCGCCCTCAGCCACAGCCGCCCCTGCCCGTGGCGCTCTGTGCCCTCCGTGCCCCCTCGGCTCCTCCCTGGGAGGCCTGCAGGGAGTGAGGACTGATCCGGAGTGCCGTGTGAAGGCACCTTGCCTCCTGCGGAGGGAAACCAAGGTGTCACTCACTCTTGCCACCCCCCCGGAGGTCACATGAGATAGAATTTGTGGAAACTACGTTACTCTAACGTGCTTATGTGGCTTATTCCACGTTTCTCCTGAGAGTGTCTATTTATTTATTAACTTTCATGCAAAAAATCTTTGTTGGGATGTGTTTTTATCCAAAGCCAGCTCACTACACATTTCTTAGAGGGACGCTTTCTGGCTCCCAGCTCCCTCGGCGCACAGCCTGGGGTGGGAACCCTGGAGCGTAGCGCCCGTAGGGGGAGGGCGACTGACGTGGTATGGTTGCCTACTGCCCAGACCCTGTGGCATGAGGAAAAAAAAACAAGACAACTTCCCTAAAACCTGCTATGCAAATACTGGAAAATAAACTGGAAGTGTTACCGGGTCAACGGACAGCTGACCCACCTGAGCCCTGACTCCAGGGCACCGCGCATCGTGCATGAGACTGCGGAAGGTCACCAGAATGGAGATTAGAGACGCCGATGTCATAGACTCGGTGTTCTCTGGAGCCACCACACAAGGGGATTTGGAAACAAGTTGTTCATCAAAAAATGACCCCGGGGGCCAGGGAGATGGCTCAGTGGAATAAGCGCTTCCCTGGCAAGTGCAAGGACCTAAGTTCAATCCCCGGTTCCACCAAAAAAAAAAAAAAAAAAAAAAAAAAAAAAATCAGGAAGCATCAGAGGGTCTGGGAAAATGATCCAGGAGAGAGAGGGACATGCGTGCTGGTGACTTGGCGAGAGCCAGTTGCAGGGAGGCAGGCAAGCTCCTGTGCACCGAGGGACACTCGCCAAGGAAAAGCCACAACTGCGTCAGCGCGGCCGCTCACACCTCTAAGGGAACTCTGCTCCCGGAGGCTTCGCTCCCCCTCTCCCCCAGATCTTGATCTTTAACCAGAGAAGGTCCTCAGGCAAACCCAGCTGCTTCTGGGACAACTGTCCTGTTTTAGGTTAACAAGTGCAGTGGAACTAAGGAAACACAACTGAAATCGTGTCCCGCATCTGCCATCCTTCAGAGGTGAGCTACCCTAAGAGTCCTGTGTAAGGAAAATGGTTTGAGAAAGAAAAATAAGGACACTTTGTATTTCTATGCTCTAATTTTTGGATTTATTAAAAATGAAGGAATACAAAAAAAAGGAATACATCCACTGGAAAAAGATGAGAGCAAGTATCTGCATAAAGGTGGCAGGACAGTTACCAGATTTAAGAGCATAATCAGACTTGTTCACTAGGGAGAGAGTAACTTCGGGTGAGGAGAGTGTAGATGGCAGTCAAGAAGTTCTCTCGGTCAGAGATTTTCACACTAGGCTTTCATAGTCAGCTCCAAAGGAACTACATCAGGAATGGCTATTGATGGACAACAGTTGTGTGTAGGTTGGAGCCCTCAGCAGCAAGGGGCACTCGAGCAGCTGGGGTGGCAGCAGGTGGGCTGGCAGCACTGGGGCCT